CACCCCCCACTGCATGACTGCACCCCCCCACACTGCATGACTGCACCCCCCCCACACTGCATGACTGCACCCCCCCACTGCATGACTGCACCCCCCCCTGCATGACTGCACCCCCCCCCACTGCATGACTGCACCCCCCCCCCCCCCTGCACACCCACACTGCATGACTGCACCCCCCCCACTGCATGACTGCACCCCCCCCCCCACACTGCATGACTGCCCCCCCCCACTGCATGTCTGCACCCCCACTGCATGACTGCACCCCCCACACACACACACTGCATGACTGCACCCCCCCACTGCATGTCTGCACCCCCACTGCATGACTGTACCCCCCACACTGCATTGCTGTACCCCCACTGCATGACTGCACCCCCCCCACACTGCATGACTGCCCCCCCCCCACTGCATGTCTGCACCCCCACTGCATGACTGTACCCCCCACACTGCATGACTGGACCCCCCCCCACACTGCGTGACTGCACCCCCACTGCATGACTGCTGCACCCCCACACTGCATGACTGCCCCCCCCCCACTGCATGACTGCACCCCCCCCCCACTGCATGACTGCACCCCCCCACACTGCATAACTGCACCCCCACTGTGTGACTGTACCCCCCACACTGCATGACTGCACCCCCCCCCCACTGCATGTCTGCACACCCACTGCATGACTGCACCCCCCCACACACACACACTGCATGTCTGCACCCCCCCCCCCCCCACATGCATGACTGCACCTCAATCCTCCACTGCATGACTGCACTTTTTCACCCCCTCCACTGCATATGTGCACTCCTCCTCCCTCTACTGCATGACTACACCCTGTAGCCTCCGCACAGTATGACTGCCCCCCCCCCCCCCCCCGCATGACTGCACCCCCCTTCTCATGCTCCCCCTCTTTCCTCCTCTCTGCATGGCTGCCCCTACATGATAGTGATGAATGATACTGACAGGAGGAGTGTGCACAGGAGACCCCCCCCCCCCCCCCCCCCTGCATGTCACACAGTGACTGACCTGCTGCATGTTGCCCCCCCCCCCCCCCACCTCCCTTCAGCTGATAATTAACCGTTGCACTGCCTAGAGACAGCACAGAGCCGCAGAGCTGACAATCTATTGCAAAAATCTCATCCTTGTTCCAGGAGCTAACAATCTAATGAGCTGCAGGAGATAATCACACCTGTCCCTGTATTGGTCACCTCATTTGTCACATGCGGCACACAGACTGTACAATCTATCCCACATCACTGCCCCCAAGAGCTTGCAATCTACTGGCAGAAAAGTAAGACTTTTCTTTTATCAAACAGGCCATGGACAGCAGAGATCGCCCCCAGAGCTGACAATCAGCCTTAAAGGGACCCTGTCACCAGATACAGACACTGATTGGCCATCAGATAGTGGCTCCTGCCTAAAGGCTCTGTCTGGGGGGTGATGATAGCGGACACTAGGGGGCGGTAAGAAGAACGGACAGATGTACCAATCAGGAAAGAAAGGATGCTCTCCTCTCCAATGAAAATGACAGAACGCAGCAGATTTAAGGCGGAGCCAATATCCATCAACGTGCGTCATGATCAATTCCACCAATAGAACTCCGCCACATCATTTCCCAGAAGCCGCATTCTATCTTCCTTCACCTGCCCCCGAGCCGCGTCATGTGACTTACAGCTCAGGCAGAGATCACATGGTCTGCGACTCCCAGGAGCATTGTGGGTGTTTCAGGTCATTAGGGGCAGACTTGCAGGAGATACAGGAGCAGCAGGAAGCAGAGCCAGGACTCCACCATGAATGGATAGAATTCCACCCTCCGGAGGGATCACATGGAGATGTAGAAGGGATTCCGGGGAAATGGCGATCACACACGGCCGCCTCCACATAGGACCGCCAGAATCCCTAATATGCCCCTCCCCCCACGCCGGGGGGCTCCACAACCTGCAAATATTCCACAACGTTCATCTTCAAAGAATTACCCGACACCATTGTCAGCCGGTTCACAGTGGAGCCGAGAACGCGCGGGAGGGAGTGGAGCGCGGAGCGGGTGGAGCGCGGAGCTGGGGTGGAGCGCGGAGCGGGTGGAGCGCGGAGCGGGAGGACTTCATCATGGAGTCAGTCATGCCCTCCCATCCTTATCTCATCATGGACGCATGGAGTCAGTCATACCCCTCCCACCCTTATCTCATCATGGACGCATGGAGTCAGTCATACCCTCCCATCCTTATCTCATCATGGACGCATGGAGTCAGTCATACCCCCCACCCTTATCTCATCATGGACGCATGGAGTCAGTCATACCCTCCCACCCTTATCTCATCTGGACGCATGGAGTCAGTCATACCCTCCCACCCTTATCTCATCTGGACGCATGGAGTCAGTCATACCCTCCCACCCTTATCTCATCTGGACGCATGGAGTCAGTCATACCCTCCCACCCTTATCTCATCTGGACGCATGGAGTCAGTCATACCCTCCCACCCTTATCTCATCTGGACGCATGGAGTCAGTCATACCCGCCCACCTTTATCTCACCTGGACACATGGAGTCCACCTCATCCCCTCACATAACAGACACATGGGTCTTACCCATCCTCATCTCACCTCACCACCCAGCCCCCACCAAAATCAGACATATGGGGTCCTTACCCTTCCACAAAATGGACACATGGAGTCTGCCTCACCCTTCCACATAGTGCACACAGAATCCACCCCGACCCCCCTATATGCTGGACACCGGACGTTCACCTTAACTCATAACAAACTAGACACATAGAGGCTGACACACCTTTCCAAATGGAAACATGGAGTCAGTCTTGCGTGCCCACATACTAGACACATGGAGTTTGCTTCACCCTCCCTTATACCGGACACATTGAGTCTGTTTCACCCTCCCACATACTAGACACATGGAGTTTGCTTCACCCTCCCTTTTACCGGACACATTGAGTCTGTTTCACCCTCCCACATACTAGACACATGGAGTTTGTTTCACCCTGAGTCTGTTTCACCCTCCCCCATACTAGACACATGGAGATCAGGGGGTTCATTATAGAAGAAATCATTAAAGTGGAACTCCAGCCAAAACCTCCATCTATTTCGGATATGGAAGAGGCAGAACTCTTTTTGGAGGTTTCCCCTCACTTCCTGTCCCAGAGACACAACCCCTCCAAACTCATGGGAATCCTCCCTGCTGGGGACACAGAAAACTGGAACTCTGCTGGTGACTGGCGGGCTCCTAGGGCCATTACTGGCCCCTTCCTCCAACACATCTAAGGGGCCCCACTATCCAATGCCTATGTGTGGCATGGGTCATGTGACCTCACCAGCCATCAATATAAAAGGCCAGTTGGGCAGCCAGTCACTCAGTGGAGCTCTTCTCCCCTCACACTGAGACATCTCCTGTTTGTGTTTCGTATTTTGTAGGACTTGGCTCAGCGAAAGCAAAACATGAACCGCCTCAAACGCACACAAGGGTTGTCGGGCCTTTCATGTCTGTAAACATTTGTACAGGAATGTGCGCCGACAAGGACTCAAATTGTGTCTTCGACTATTTGTGCTTCAAAGCAATGCCAATAGGGACAACGGCCGGGCACGTGTCACCACCAGAACAACCAACAAGGAGTGCTAAGGGTCATTCAATGCAGAGGACCACCATGACACAATGTTCTGACAGCCTGTCTGCCACCAATCTCCTGAAGATGGAAAGCCAAAACGGTTCTTCTCTCTTCTGGTTGGAGCAGGGAATTGTTAAAACTCCTGAAGGTTTTTTCTGCCATCCGTGTACAATTGTGTAACCTCCCTTCATTTCCTGTTCTGTAGACACAACAGGAAATGACAGAAAACCTCTCAAAAGTGAGAGAAATCCCATTTGAAAAGTTGTCACCAGAACAGGTGTCCCCGTTGGAAGGTTTTACTCCCTCTCTGTTTCTGGTGACAAATCAAAATGTTGGCTATCCCATCACTTATCTTTGGAGAGGGAGGGTGGGATCATAAGCATAAGCACCACTTTACAAAGAGATCCCCCAGGGATGAGAACCATCTTAGAAAGAGCTCCCCCAGATATGAGCACCACCTTACAAGCAGTTCCCCCATGGACAAGCACCACCTTAGGAAGAGTTCCCATGGAACAAGCTCCATCTTAGAAAGAGTTCCCCTAGGGATGAGCACCGCCTTACAAAGAATTCCCTCAGGGATGAGCACCACCTTACAAGCAGCTCCCCCATGGACAAGCACCACCTTAGGAAGAGTTCCCATGGAACAAGCACCACCTTAGGAAGAGTTCCCCTAGGGATGAGCACCGCTTTACAAAGAATTCCCCCATGGACAAGCACCACCTTATGAAGAGTTCCCCCTGGAACAATCACCCTTAGGAAGAGTTTTCCTGGAATAAGAAACACCTTAGGAAAAGTTCCCCTTAAGGATTAGCACCATGACCGTGAAGTGTTCCCCCAGGGATGAAGAAGAAGAGTTTCCCTTGATACAAGCAGCACCCTAAAAAGTTTCATGGGATAAGTTAATCACTCAGGAAGAGTTCCCCCTGAGATGAACACCACCACCACAAAAAGTGTTAACCCTGGGAAAGCACCATCTTAGGAAGAGTTCCCCCATGGACAAGCACCACCTTAGGAAGAGTTCCCCCATGGACAAGCACCATCTTAGGAAGAGTTCCCCCATGGACAAGCACCACCTTAGGAAGAGTTCCCTCAGGGCTGAGCATCACCTTAGGAAGAGTTCCCTCAGGGCTGAGCATCACCTTAGGAAGAGTTCCCCTAGGGATGAGCACCACCTTAGGAAGAGTTCCCCCATGGACAAGCACCATCTTAGGAAGAGTTCCCCCATGGACAAGCACCACCTTAGGAAGAGTTCCCCCATGGACAAGCATCATCTTAGGAAAAGTTCCCCCATGGACGAGCACCACCTTAGGAAAAGTTCCCCTAGGGATGAGCACCACCTTAGGAAGAGTTCCCCTAGGGATGAGCACCACCTTAGGAAGAGTTCCCCCATGGACGAGCACCATCTTAGGAAGAGTTCCCCCATGGACAAGCACCATCTTAGGAAAGAGTTCCCCCATGGACAAGCACCATCTTAGGAAGAGTTCCCTCAGGGCTGAGCATCACCTTAGGAAGAGTTCTCCTAGGGATGAGCACCACCTTAGGAAGAGTTCCCCCATGGACAAGCACCATCTTAGGAAGAGTTCCCCCATGGACAAGCACCACCTTAGGAAGAGTTCCCCCATGGACAAGCATCATCTTAGGAAAAGTTCCCCCATGGACAAGCACCACCTTAGGAAAAGTTCCCCTAGGGATGAGCACCACCTTAGGAAGAGTTCCCCTAGGGATGAGCACCACCTTAGGAAGAGTTCCCCCATGGACGAGCACCATCTTAGGAAGAGTTCCCCCATGGACAAGCACCATCTTAGGAAGAGTTCCCCCATGGACAAGCACCATCTTAGGAAGAATTCCCCACTTGGACAAGCACCATCTTAGGAAGAGTTCCCCCATCGACAAGCACCATCTTAGGAAGAGTTCCCCCATGGACAAGCACCATCTTAGGAAGAGTTCCCCCATGGACAAGCACCATCTTAGGAAGAGTTCCCCCATGGACAAGCACCATCTTAGGAAGAGTTCCCCCATGGACAAGCACCACCTTAGGAAGAGTTCCCTCAGGGATGAGCACCACCTTAGGAAGAGTTCCCCCATGGACAAGCACCACCTTAGGAAGAGTTCCCTCAGGGATGAGCACCACCTTAGGAAGAGTTCCCCCATGGACAAGCACCACCTTAGGAAGAGTTCCCTCAGGGATGAGCACCACCTTAGGAAGAGTTCCCCCATGGACAAGCACCACCTTAGGAAGAGTTCCCCCATGGACAAGCACCACCTTAGGAAGAGTTCCCCCATGGACAAGCACCATCTTAGGAAGAGTTCCCCTAGGGATGAGCACCACCTTAGGAAGAGTTCCCCCATGGACAAGCACCACCTTAGGAAGAGTTCCCCCATGGACAAGCACCACCTTAGGAAGAGTTCCCCCATGGACAAGCACCATCTTAGGAAGAGTTCCCCCATGGACAAGCACCACCTTAGGAAGAGTTCCCTCAGGGATGAGCACCACCTTAGGAAGAGTTCCCCCATGGACAAATACCACCTTAGGAAGAGTTCCCTCAGGGATGAGCACCACCTTAGGAAGAGTTCCCCCATGGACGAGCACCACCTTAGGAAGAGTTCCCTCAGGGATGAGCACCACCTTAGGAAGAGTTCCCCCATGGACAAGCACCACCTTAGGAAGAGTTCCCCCATGGACAAGCACCACCTTAGGAGGAGTTCCCCCATGGACAAATACCACCTTAGGAAGAGTTCCCTCAGGGATGAGCACCACCTTAGGAAGAGTTCCCCTAGGGATGAGCACCACCTTAGGAAGAGTTCCCCTAGGGATGAGCACCACCTTAGGAAGAGTTCCCCCATGGCAAGCACCACCTTAGGAAGAGTTCCCCCATGGACAAGCACCACCTTAGGAAGAGTTCCCTCAGGGCTGAGCATCACCTTAGGAAGAGTTCCCTCAGGGCTGAGCATCACCTTAGGAAGAGTTCCCCTAGGGATGAGCACCACCTTAGGAAGAGTTCCCCCATGGACAAGCACCATCTTAGGAAGAGTTCCCCCATGGACAAGCACCACCTTAGGAAGAGTTCCCCCATGGACAAGCATCATCTTAGGAAAAGTTCCCCCATGGACAAGCACCACCTTAGGAAAAGTTCCCCTAGGGATGAGCACCACCTTAGGAAGAGTTCCCCTAGGGATGAGCACCACCTTAGGAAGAGTTCCCCCATGGACGAGCACCATCTTAGGAAGAGTTCCCCCATGGACAAGCACCATCTTAGGAAGAGTTCCCCCATGGACAAGCACCACCTTAGGAAGAGTTCCCCCATGGACAAGCACCATCTTAGGAAGAGTTCCCCCATGGACAAGCACCACCTTAGGAAGAGTTCCCTCAGGGATGAGCACCACCTTAGGAAGAGTTCCCCCATGGACAAATACCACCTTAGGAAGAGTTCCCTCAGGGATGAGCACCACCTTAGGAAGAGTTCCCCCATGGACGAGCACCACCTTAGGAAGAGTTCCCTCAGGGATGAGCACCACCTTAGGGAAGAGTTATGGGCACCACCTTAGGAAGAGTTCCCCCATGGACAAGCACCACCTTAGGAAGAGTTCCCCCATGGACAAATACCACCTTAGGAAGAGTTCCCTCAGGGATGAGCACCACCTTAGGAAGAGTTCCCCTAGGGATGAGCACCACCTTAGGAAGAGTTCCCCTAGGGATGAGCACCACCTTAGGAAGAGTTCCCCCATGGACAAGCACCACCTTAGGAAGAGTTCCCCCATGGACAAGCACCACCTTAGGAAGAGTTCCCTCAGGGCTGAGCACCACCTTAGGAAGAGTTCCCCCATGGACAAATACCACCTTAGAAAGAGTTCCCTCAGGGATGAGCACCACCTTAGGAAGAGTTCCCCCATGGACAAGCACCACCTTAGGAAGAGTTCCCTCAGGGATGAGCACCACCTTAGGAAGAGTTCCCCCATGGACAAGCACCACCTTAGGAAGAGTTCCCCCATGGACAAACACCACCTTAGGAAGAGTTCCCCTAGGGATGAGCACCACCTTAGGAAGAGTTCCCCCATGGACAAGCACCACCTTAGGAAGAGTTCCCCCATGGACAAGCACCACCTTAGGAAGAGTTCCCTCAGGGCTGAGCACCACCTTAGGAAGAGTTCCCTCAGGGCTGAGCATCACCTTAGGAAGAGTTCCCCCAAATAAGAGTACCACTATATGAAGAGTTCCCCCATGGACAAGCATCACCTTAGGAAGAGTTCCCTCAGGGATGAGCACCACCTTAGGAAGAGTTCCCTCAGGCCTGAGCATCACCTTAGGAAGAGTTCCCCTAGGGATGAGCACCACCTTAGGAAGAGTTCCCCCATGGACAAATACCACCTTAGGAAGAGTTCCCCCATGGACAAATACCACCTTAGGAAGAGTTCCCTCAGGGATGAGCATCACCTTAGGAAGAGTTCCCCTAGGGATGAGCACCACCTTAGGAAGAGTTCCCCCATGGACAAATACCACCTTAGGAAGAGTTCCCTCAGGGATGAGCATCACCTTAGGACGAGTCCCCCCAAATAAGAGTACCACTATATGAAGAGTTCCCCCAGGAACAATCACTCATAGGAAGAGTTTTCCTGGAATAAGAATTGCTTATGCAGAAACGGGCAAATCATTTGATTGTTTTTGGAAAAGAGCTCCTTTCTCATTGGCTTGGATATGTGTGTGTAGACTGGCACCTCTGCTGAACGTCACACGATTCGAGAACCTGGGCTATCAGCAAATCAGCGCACGTACTCTATGCTGGCAAACAAAAATGTGAAATTCTGAAAAAGATGAGCTTTGCTAGAAATGGATGAATTGTGCCCAGAAGCAGGTGATACGGGCGGGGGAGGGGGCTGATGGTGAGGGAATTTACCTCGGAAAGTCCTGTTTTTTCCTCCTTTGAAGTTTGCAAGATTTCAGGATTTAGCCCTCTAAAATAAAAGTTGTGTGGAAAGTTTTCTTTGAAAGAGAACCTGTATTAACTGATTGCTGCCAATTACCTGGTGTCCAGTTCCTATGTAGCTGGGGGGGAGGGGGGTCCGTCATGCCTCTCTTTGAAGTGATTAATCCTTTTATCTGTTAGTGGCCGGAGGAAATTCTAGACAATGAATGGCGGGGAGAGGCCGGCAGATGAAAAGACAAGGGGGGTCAATAATACTTGGCCAATATAACCCCCATCCCCCACAGGAATACGAGGTGCTGTGTGCTGACAGATCATAATTAATTTCCTGTATGCAGATCATCATTTTATAACTCAGAAATCCCTACATTTCATTTCAACGGACTTTTGTAAACAAGTAACGATCTTTTTATCAACGACCAACCAAACTCCGAGCATGGGTTCAATATGATTGGCTGGTGTGGAGAGATACAAACAGTTCTCCTTTCATTCTTGTAGGCAAGGCTTCCTGGCTGAGGACCGCCGTCACTTTTCTTGGTTAGAACTGAGAAATATCTGTGTTTCCATTCTCCAGGATTTCCCAAAGTTAACAAAACTCAGGAGCTCTGCGTCAGCGAAGGGAAAAGTACTATACAAAGTGCAAAGTGGGTGGATGGCGCCAATGCAGCAACAAAAAAACGGCTACAAAGAAAAATGGAAAAACCTCGGCGATCGCTCTTCCTGCTCAGCAAATAAACAATTACACCCAATTGTAAATTATCTTCAAAATTTGAGTTTTTTTCACACTTTGACCAGATCTGGATGGCAGATGTCGGTGAAATAACCTCCATCAAAGTATGGTGCAAATGTGGCCTCCAGAGTGGAATTCTGATCAATTCTATAAGAAAAATGCCAAAAATATACATTTGGCCCTTTTCGGCACAGACCCTTCCCCACATCTTCCCCCAGAATTCCCAGACTCCCTGCCCCTCCCTTTCTCATTTGGGGATGTGAATAGCTCAGCAGGGAGAAGATCTAATGGAAAGTGGTTGTGGCCTCCATGGAGACCCGATGTCAGATGTGAAATATCTCAGCAATATCTGAGCCCTGCTAGGACACAAGAGACGGGCCGCCGCTTCATGTCAGGAGGACGAAACTTCATGGAACATCAAGTACAGGGGCAGAGACTTCTGGGAATCCACGGCAATGGCTTGTGGGCAAAGGACAAAACGTTCAGAAATAATATCCAGATGAGGTTTTATGGTCAGAGACAGAGAAGACAATCAACCAGAGACAGAGAGGACAATCAGAGGACAATACCAGAGACAGAGAGGACAATCAACCAGAGACAGAGAGGACAATCAACCAGAGACAGAGAGGACAATCAACCAGAGACAGAGAGGACAATCAACCAGAGACAGAGAGGACAATCAACCAGAGACAGAGAGGACAATCAACCAGAGACAGAGAGGACAATCAACCAGAGACAGAGAGGACAATCAACCAGAGACAGAGAGGACAATCAACCAGAGACAGAGAGGACAATCAAACAGAGACAGAGAGGACAATCAACCAGAGACAGAGAGGACAATCAACCAGAGACAGAGAGGACAATCAACCAGAGACAGAGAGGACAATCAACCAGAGACAGAGAGGACAATCAACCAGAGACAGAGAGGACAATCAACCAGAGACAGAGAGGACAATCAACCAGAGACAGAGAGGACAATCAACCAGAGACAGAGAGGACAATCAAACAGAGACAGAGAGGACAAGCAACAGAGACAGAGAGGACAATCAACCAGAGACAGAGAGAGGACAATCAACCAGAATAAAGTGTACCCAGAGAGATCCCTGAACAGGACTGGATCTGTCCTAGAGAGATCCCTGAACTGATGGAGAATGTCAGAAGTGTGACAGAGACGCAGTATTCCCCGTTCACTCGGCACGCTTCTGTACCACGAGTCCCAACCCGCAAGTAACATCTGACAGGTAGCATGACCAGGGAAGGCTAGTATGTATTAGGCACCCCTTATATCAGGAATCCCTATCAGAGTCCCCTCCTCTTACATCAACTGTCCTCATCAGAGTTCCCCCTTACATCAACTGTCCCCATCAGAGTGCCCCCTTATATCAGGAATCCCTATCAGAGTCCCTCCTTACATCAACTGTCCCCATCAGAGTGCCCCCTTACATCATGTGTCCCCATCAGAGTGCCCCCTTACATCATGTGTCCCCATCACAGTGCCCCCTTACATCATGTGTCCCCATCAGAGTGCCCCCTTACATCAACTGTCCCCATGTGCCCCCCATCATGTGCCCCCTTCCCCATCAGAGTGCCCCCTTACATCACTGTCCCCATCAGAGTGCCCCCTTACATCAAATGTCCCCATCAGAGTGCCCCCTTACATCATGTGTCCCCATCAGAGTGCCCCTTACTTCAACTGTCCCCACTACATCATAACTGTCCCATCAGAGTGCCCCCCTTACATCAACTGTCCCCATCAGAGTGCCCCCTTACATC